CTGTATGTTGTTTCCATCATAGCAGGATTAAAAGACGAGGAGCTTAGTGCCCAGGGGCTATAAAAGTGTCCGGTTTGCTTAAATAAAAATATGCTTAAAAAGTTATTAGAGGCACTTTATTTATTTTTGTTTATCATTTATTTAAAATGACTGCAGTTGTATGAAACCCTCCAGTTCATCTCTTAAAGTTACTAGCAAACTATCGCCCTGTGAATTTTATGTTTAGAATAAGGGGGAGAAACCATCTAATCACAATACTTCTATAAAATTATTATAATTATGAGGGGCTTATGAACATTTTACTACCAGAACGGTTGATATTTATGATTTTGCATGCGTGTGTCTTCGGGGAAAGACGAGGTAGTTGATGTCAGTAGTAGCTATTAGCTAACATCGGGAAATAACTTCATCAGTCTGTGAGCAGTGACGGGTGAGCCACTAATAAAGAATTGTTCTTGCTGCTTTTTAAAACAACCTTACAGTATATAAACCGCCGATATGTGACCATCTACACCAAATTTAAATGAAAAATGCTTTGACAAACAGCGAAGGTCTATGCCCCTAATTGTAAACAACACCGTAACTGGAAAAAGAGAACAGAGCTTCCTCTATGAATTATGGGTAGTGGCGCGAAACCAGGAATACTGTGGAAGAAAAACTGAAGGAACACACGAGGAGCCGATCAAATATTTAACAAAGTAACTACACTGTGTGCTTACAGAACAATACAGTCTTTGATACTGGACTTCTTCAAGTTCAAACAGTTTCTCAAAGAAGAAAAAAACAAATAAAAAAAACAGATCAAAAACTTACGTTGACGTAATCCTTCAGGACGTACCGAGCTGATCGGGACTGATCGGGCTGGCCGTGCGCCGTCATGAAACCTCTCATATCTGAAGCAGAAAGAAAGATTCAACATCTTATTTAGTCTCTTCGCAAAACCAGGATGACTTGGAAACCTTAAAGAGAAAACATGTGGTTTAAAAGATACTGCTGCAGATCATCTCCCTCAAACTTTAAAGCAAAGTCAAAGTTTTAACTAGGGCTCCACCGATCAGGTTTTATGCTGGTGATTACACCGCTGATCGCAGTGGTTGGCTGAGTGCTACATTATCTGGAAAAAAAACTAATTTAGACAAAAACATGTTTTTACTCACTTTTCCAAGATAAAAATTACAAATAGTGGAAACTTCAGGGTTTGCCCAAGTGTATTATTATTACGCTGGCTGGCCACCAGGCTTTACATGCCCCCTTTCTCACAAATTATTTCTTGACTTTTTCTTTTACTGTACATCTGTCTGTGTCACTGTTCCCTCTTCTAAATGTGTTATTTAATAAAGCTTAACGGGATGACTCAGCTTCCATGCACCAATCAAATCTCAGTACACAACTACTTCCCCCGGGCTTTTCACAATAGAAGCACATTAACATTTCCATATTAACATTGCGCATTAATGTATCCGTACATGTCACTGAAGAGGTGTTTACTAGTAGAACCAGCAGTCTTCCACGTCTGAGAAAGTCTGGTCATCTAACCAATTCAATTATTTTTCAGGTTATTTGCTTGGCTTCCTGTCTTTCACGCTCATACAGCTGAGTGTGGGCTGCGTTAACCATCCCTGCTCTGAGCGGTTAGTTTTCATTCTCTGGACTGAGCCTTAAAAACTCACCGTATTTCCCAGAGTCTCTGTTCTTTAAAAGTCGTATCAAACTCGTCGACGCACTGAGGTAATTTATTCGTTGCACGTGTAGCAGGATGTACCCTCTTACAGATGGTGTAAAACGTCCACACGGCAGACATGTTTGTTTATGATTTGCTCACCCTGCTCGCACACTTCACGTCACACAGGGCCTGTACAGCTGCAGAGTACGAGCTGCAGGTGATCAGTTTGTGGTCGGCACTCAAAGGCACTGAACGGAAAACGTCAATCACATTTTCACAGAAATCGGCGGGTTATTATCAACAGCCCATCGATTGAAACAGTTACTGTTTCTACATAATAAATGAATGTTGGCCTCACATCCGTAAGCCATTAGGAGCTCCTCAGAGGTGGGAGGCCTGTCGGGGTCTTCATCCTCTCTGGGCCTGATGATGTTGATGCCGTACGTGCCCTCCAACACGTGCCGAGGGATCGTGTGACAGATGTGGCGAAGCCATTAAGGACTGCTAATACGCAAGTTTTCGCAGATTAACATGAAACCACGTTGCTGTAAAAGGATATGAGGGACACTGCAGGTACGTGATCCCTCATCTGGTCGATGGGCAGAATCCCAGAGCAGATCATCTCAGCTTTGGTTGAAAGGAACGAGGGCATGACCAGACCAGGGCAGTCGCACAGACACAGGCCCGGCTCCACGTACAGAGTCTGTTTATGGGTTCAAGAAGAGCAGTGAGCTGATGGAAACTGGTTTGATACGGCAGGTGGATTGAGACGCACCTGGAAGTGCTTCGTGTGTCCAGGTGTGGCTGAAACAGAAACCTTCTTGTTCCTCAGGATCGTGTTGATGGTGGAGCTTTTCCCCACGTTGGGATACCCGACCTGTCGGACCCAAAGAAAAAGTAGAACTCAGCAGGTGAAACGTTCAGCTGATTCACGTTGTAATTCCTTTATGTGACTGAACAACTCAGTTTAAATGTTACAGTGACTCTTCACTCACCAGTCCTATGGTCAGTTGCTCCTCTTTACATTTGGGCCCAGTGTGAACGTCTTTAAACACGTTCAGCAGCTCATCCTTCTGCAGCAGCCGGCTCGAGTTGTGAAAGGATTCACAGGACGCTCCTCCTCCTCCTCCTCCTCTCTCCTCTTCACCCTCTGAGCAGGTCTGCCATTCCTCCTCCTCCTCCACATCACTCTCGTCCTCCTCGTTCATCATTTTTTGGCTCAGGTCTTCATTACATGGCGATCCACGTGCTTCTGGATCACTGTCTTCACATTCTGGATCATCCATTTCTACACCCTGTGAGGTAAGGGTGAGGATGTCAAAATATTCAATCAATTCTACCAACAGGGCTGATAATGGAAAAATAATGCTGAACCTAAACTTTTTTTTTTTAATTTAATCACTCAAGCACATTAAAGAAGATTATTTTGTACAGAGCAAAGGTTTAGCTGTGATAGGCTACGTTCACACTGCAGGTCTTAATGCTCAGTTCAGATTTTTTGAAAAAATCCGATCTTTTTGTGTGAACGTTCACATTACATTTTAAATGTGACCTGCATCAGACCCGTGTGAACGCTACACAGCACTGATGTGACACGCATGCACAGTAAAAGATGTGACGTCTCATCAGCCGACTTGTTTGTTTACAGAGCTAGCATGGATGCTGCATTTTGCACATCGAATCTGAAGTTGTTGTTTAATCAGAGCCGATTAAATAATTATCTGACCTGCTTCTTTAGTTCAGTGTTTATATCTGAAGCTGCCTCTGACCGAGATGCTCCAGTGAAGCTTTTTTTAACGAAACTACGAGCTGGAAAAAAGTATCGACCGAGTATCTAACTTTAGGATCTATACTCTCCGCGACCCAGGCTGGACATAGTTATTATCACACTAATGAAAAGTAAAAAGATGAAGCAACTGGACTTGTGTTTTGGAGCTGTAAACACA